TCTAATTTAGCTTGACCAATATTGACACGATCAAGATAACTTAATAGATATAATAAAGTCATTGTTGGAATTAAATGACGATCAAGTTTTCGAATAAGTTTTTTATCGTTTGGATCATCAGATATTTTATCAACAGCATCTTTTATGTTCAATACTTCTTGTATAACTGGTTATTCTATATCGACCGCACATGTTTTTTCTTCGGTAATTTCGTCCGTAGTAGGTTCCATATTTTGTGTAATCAATCGATTAGAAAATTCTATGCTTATATACTCATGATCAAATGATATTTACAAAACGACGCAAGTACATGAGGGAAAATATGATTTGATCATATTTAAATATAAAATGTTGTTTTCTTTTTTGTATTGATACAGACTTGACAGTGATTGGACAAGCTTCGTAAATCGATCTCGTTTTCTTACCTGTACAAAAGCATCACATGTCTGTCTTGATGTACTTGACGAGAAAAAACTTTCATAGTTCATACGTACTCATTTAAGGGTATGTGTACCTGCAATTGTCTAATTGTATACATCTCCCATAGTCATAGAGCGAAGGGAAAACGCTTTCTTATAGACATTAAAGGTAAGACGTACCGAAAGGTAGGCATGTCGGTAGAAGCCATATACATATTATTTCGTCATAAAGAGATACGAATACTTTTTATGTTTGAGTTCAGCTCTTATTGTTATGGGAATAATAACAAAAAGCAACAATGTGATTACGGCATACACAAATAAGTAAGTGATTGATCACCCTTCTATCCAGTACCTTGGTGTCGAAGGAGATTTATTTCACATTGCGCAATATGGTAGAGTTTCACCAAAATAATAGATATCATATGTTCAATATAATGAAATGAAATGTATTTCTATTTAATGGATAAAAGACTCTTCATATCCAAATCAATACAATCACGAGTCAATTCTCACAACATATTTTTATAATGCTATATGAAAATCTAAATTAGTGAACATTTTGTCTCTTTCCGGTATTTAATCAAAATCGTTTGTCGCAATTAAAGAAATGAAAAAATAATTGGAAGTCACTCTCCTTTCTTTCTGTAGTACATATTTACACAATTGAAAAGAATGCAAAAATAATATTTGAAATTATGGTCTGATCAGATTACTTTCAAATTTTCTGTGTTTCACAACTGCACATAAGATATACCAGAAAAAAGTCTCTCGCTCTCTCCTACGTTTACGATTAATGTATATATACGTATGTAAAGTTTGCGTTTGTGATCATACCTCATTAGAAAAAAATTCATGAGAAAGCAGCAAAAAATGATCTAATGGGATTTCATGGCATAGAAAAAAGTAGGGTACCGATGAGTTAGGAGGCGGATCATTTTACCATATAAATAATTTAATGATAGGTCCAAATGCTGGAAGTTGTAGCTTGATTGCATATACTCTTGTATAAAGTGTGAGATTTCCGATGGAACGACTCATATAGAAATGTTCATCGAATATATTCGATAGAAAAAGAAGTAGAAAAGTTTGCGATAGATATAACTGCTCATTTCTATGATGGTGGTGATGATTTACCTTTTAGTTTATTCATTTGGATTAATCGAATTTAAATAGAAATGACATATAATTCTCTTAAATAAGACAGAAACAAGAATGAATTCAGTTTTGCATTTAACCGATAAAGAAGATTTCAGAGAAGAGATTTTGAGTTTGATTATTTGTTATTTTTATCCTTTAAAATTTGAATAAATCAGATTTTTTTCTTTTATTTATATTGAATAACACAACAATAATAGTGACCAGAGTATGAAGTATTTAAACGGCTTGTCCGCAGGTACCGCACTCACGTTTCGGACACTTTTTCACTACATTTTCTTTGTAATCATTTGACATACAGGTTCAAAAACTAGAGGGCAGATATAGGCCATAATGTATTTCAATTTGTGTGCGACTCGTAGATATAGGTTTTGTCAGTAAAATATATAATTAAAAATACTCGTCCATAACGCATCAACAAAAAAAGTCGTTGTTGACTTGAGCCGCGGAGGAAGCTCTGACAG